ATAAATCCGATTTATTAAGTGTAGATTTTGATGGACTAAAAGTAAAATATATAGGTAAGATTATTAATAAATTGAGATTATGCTACTGTAATAAAAGAAAATTTAGATATTTCAAGCATTTACGAAGGTATAAATAAATATTTTAGAATTATTGCACTACTAACTTTTTTCGAACGATAGGTCCTGGAAGAAGTGAAGAAGCTGCTTCAATAAGAGCGAATAATTTGATACTTCCACAATTTGGATTATTTTATTTTGAAGTCCATATTATTGATGAGGGAAATAATGGGTACGTGCGCAATACACAAAATTTCTGTTCCATCTTCTATACATTTATTCTATGCCATAGATAGCCTATATGACTGTATAATACCGTCACTTTTTGTTTATACTTACTTATATTCCCCGATCAATTTTATCAATTATTAAAAGATCTATCGCAATTGGATTTTGTACAAAAAAAGCTAGCTTAAATAGGATGCTCGGTAAATGAGTACTATTTATATTACAATATCAAAAATAAGTTCACTTCACATAAATTATTATTTTTAATGTTTAGGTTGGGAAAATGATTCTTGGGGTTATCACAGTAATGACGGATATTCCTTTTGCAGCTCGAGACTGGGCGAGCCATACGGTCAACTATTTACGACCGGTGATACTATTGGATGTTGCTTAAATTTTAGATGTAATACAGTATTCTATACCAAAAATGGTGTGAATCAAGGTAATTGTCTATTAAGGTCATTTACGAAATTGATAGGAATTTAATATTTTATAATATATTTTAAGGAATTGTATTCCAAGAATTGAAAGAAGCTGTATATCCTTGTGTTGGAATGATGTCACAAGGCGGATATATTGAAGTAAATTTTGGTCATAAAAATTTCGAATATATTAGTAAGCTTACTTAATTTCAAATAGTTTAATTCTTTTAATATTTCTTTTATTTAAATATTACTATTTTCTATATAAATAGCGATAGCAGGAAATGATATTGATGATGAAATATTAAGAGAAAAATGGGTTAAGATCTTCAACCAGAAAAATAACGAATCATCAAATAAACCGATAGATACATTTGAAAATTTAATAGAATCATTAAAAGATGAATCAAATAATGTAGCTGAATTAAGATATCGAGGAAAAATTAATTTCATTATGGGAAGATATGAAGAAGCTCTTTCAGACTTGACAAAATCTCTAGAAATTGAACCAAACAATTTATTTGCATTAAGGTACCGAAGTGAAGCTTATTGTATGATAAAGGAATACAAGAAATCGCAAAAGGACTTAGACAAAATATTGGAAATTAATGTAGATGATTCATGGGCATTAAGAGCTTATGAGACAGTATTTGGCTTGTAAGTATAAATTAATAGAATACGTAAGGATTTAATTTTACATTAAATAAGATTTCTCTAATCAATTTAATTTAAATTAGGAGGTAAATATAATAAATAAAATAAACGACTTATTATTCAATGATTAATTATCTACAGTATATCTGATATGTCAAATTAAAGAATGTGAGTTTATAAGATTCATTTATCAAATCAAGCATTACCAATGTCGTTTTCTACTAAACTTAAAAAAATTATATCTAGTGCGTGAGTATAGTGATAAGTATAATTAACGATTTTGTTGAATTTTATTCACCTAATTAATAAAGTTTAAATTTATAGTGCGTGAGTGTTGCTTGATTATAAATCAAGAATATATTAAAACGTTTAGCATTATTTATCTAATCATTATACGCATATTAAAAGGGTGTAAGTATATTATCATTAAATGATATCAATATTTAATGAATATTATTTATGTAATCAATATATATGTGTTAAAATTATTAGTTCGTAAGTATAGAAATTTCATTAAGTTTGATTTGAAAGTTTCACAATAATGGCTCGACATTAAATCACATGTTTAAATACCAGTCTGTGAGTAGCAATAAATCTATTTTACTTTGTTGTATAATATTGCACCTTATCAATCAATACTTATCAATTCCATATCAAATTAGGCGGTGAGAATAAAATATTTTTATTGGGGTTTATCAACAATCATTGCTTCTCTAATCACTTACATTCGTATAAATACTAGAGCGTGGGTATAAAGTTTCATTGTAATATCACATAGAATCGGGACTTACCGTTAACTTTGCTTATCTGACCAAATTTTCATTGTTAAAATTAGGCGGTTAGTATTCATTTGTGCCGATTAATATATATATATTTTTACCACTATTTTGATTAGTTTGATAACTCTTATTGAATCAATAGTGCGTGAGTATAAAGTTTATTGTTTATGAAATTCAACGGTAACATTAGGGTTAAATTCGATGATAATTACCGCTTAATGTTAATATTTACATTTTTATTTGCAAAACTTTGACTTGATTACCGGTTTAAATCATAGCCTGTAAGTATAATGTTTATATAGCCAAATTCAAAATATTTATGATTAAAGCATCCATTAATCAATTTGAAATCTATTAAACTAGTCGGTAAATATAAAATTTCAAATTGTCAATTACTATGAGAAAAATGATACGAGAGTTTTGGAAATTCCGTGTTGTTTACGGAAAAAATCGGAACACGTTCCGTATTTACATTCTAGAAATTCCAAATGGGAATTCTCGGAATTTGTTGTACTCCGAAATATTTCGTATCACTACTTATACTCATCAATAACAAAACCTAACATAATTATTTTATCAATATTATTATCAGTGAGTAAGTATATAATTAATTTATAAAATGCGCCTTAATAAGGATTCACTGTTACGTATTACGTAATTAACCAATTTTCTATATTATAATAATTACACGCGTACTTAAAATAATAGAGAGTGAGTATAAAGAATATAATCAAATTAGTACGATTCATAAGATTCATAAGATTCATAATGAGTTGCCATTAAATAACGACAATTTAATTATTTAAAAATACATCAGCTTGTAAGTATAAAGTTTAATTTTATACTGTATATAATATTAGTATTCACCTCTAAGAACTACGGTTTATAATATTAGTGCGTGAGTATCAAATTGAACAATGCTTGTTTGCAAAAATTATTTATAAAACTAGCTATTAAAAATATAATTTCTTTAATCTGTTGAATTAATTAGATAGTAAGTATTAAATTGAGAAAATTCATTTTGTAAATAAGTGAAATGTTAATTAAACAAATCAAAATTTAAACTGCAAGTCAGTGAGTATGAATTCGTTCATAAATCAGTGCGTTTTTGTAAGTTATTCATTATTAGAATATTAAATTGCATACGCATTGAATTTTAGAGAGTGAGTATAATATTTGATCTATTAGCTTTGCAAGATTTTTACCCTTAAAAACGACTACTCATTGATATCCATTACAAGTGGGTGAGTATGTTAGCAGCATAAAGAAAATTACACTAAATTTTGTTTATTCATTCGACTATTACACTTGCATTAAATTGACAGGATGTGAGTATAAAAGTCAGTTATAATCAGTCATATTTATTCGTTGTTTTATATTAAAATTAATTTTGTAATTGATTTGCGTATGTACTAAACGTTAAGACGGTAAGTAGATTTATTGGCACATGATTTATTTGGACAATATATAAACTCGCAAAATGATAAATATTACTATATATTGTTTATAGTTCTCGTCATTATGGGATATGTTCACATTGTAATCAATACAATAATTCACCAGCCTGGTGTCAAACATGTGATCCTACTATAGAAACTCAAGGATGGACAAGTGGAGATAAAGATATCGATGATTACATAAATGAATTTCAGCTTCAATCCACAACGTATAATAGAGTGATTGAATGGATTCCATTCGATAGATTTCACGATATACAGATAATAGGAGAAGGTGGATTTGGTATAGTGTACTCAGCAACCTGGGTTGATGGTATACGAAAAGTAAATGGTTCTCATGGAAGATATATAAGGACGCGTGAAAGCCTATGCAAAGTTGCACTCAAATCATTACCTGGTTCGGAAACTTTTAATGTTTTAAAAGAAGTAAGTGAATAACTTCATAGGAATCATACTATATGGTTCTAAATTTTTAATATACTAATAATTAACAAAATCTTAAGTTTAAAAATCACATGCATTGTAGAATATATGGTAGCTCCCTTGAAATATATGGATTAACAAAAAATCCATCATCTAGTACATATTTTATGGTACTACAGTATGTGAATAGAGGAAATCTTCATCAGTATTTAGAATCAAATTTTAAAAAACTTAAATGGAAAACTAAATTACAGCAACTTACATATATAGCTAATGATTTGATAAAAATTCATAAAGCCGGATTTATTCATGGAGACCTTCATAGTGGTAACATTTTACTAAATCAATATGTCACCGGACTTATGGAAATTTTCATTTCAGATCTTGGAATGTCTAGAAAACAAGATGAGAATACTACAAAAGATTGTCTTTATGGTGTTATTCCATATGTTGCTCCAGAACTTTTATTGGGTCGAGAATATACTCCGGCGGCTGATATTTATGCTTTTGGTGTTATTAT